TGGATTAATATGGATAATTTTACTGATGGTCAATTTGAAGAACACCTAAGATTTTTTGAAAAAATATTGAAGGCAAAATCAAACTTAAATACAGGGCATGAAGATGGTCAAACTAGAGTTCAGGTTGTTCTTGCAAGAGAGCAAAGTCAAAAGTAGTCTGTCTGCTTTTGGTATTGCCTTTAAATGGAAAACATGTTACTCTCAATACCACTGAAATTATACACGTCATACAAATTGATATGTCATTCTTCATCTTATTTGAGTCAACCAATCAATATCAGTCCAAAATGAGATGACTAACATGAATTATATCCCATTGCTCACAACCAATCTGTGACAATTATTAAAACTGTAAACCTGTAGGTGGCAATTCATAACATTGATCTTTATTTGTTCAGACATCAACAAAAATATTTCAGTAATGATGATTATGATAGTTGAAATCCCTGGGGAGATATCCTAGATTAGTTTTATAGACATCTGCACAGTTTCATATCCAAACGTAAACAAAGAGAATTTTTAGAATGTATTTTTTATTAATCCAAAAGATTTGCATCTCTTTAAACATTTTTAGTGGATACTTGTATTTGAGTAGGCAGTCCATTTATTTATTAAAGAGTATAAATATTTATTTTCATCTATTGGTCTGAATGTCCAAGAAATCTTATTAAAGAAAATTTTGCACCCTCTGGCAGGATTTTGAACCTGTGTCTCCCCAGGGTAGTGGAAGCTACCATTAGACCAGGCATGCTCAAAGCAGAGAGTGCAAATTTTTCTTTAATAAGATTTTTTAAACATCCAGGTTGGTAGACAAAAATAAATACACTATTTAATAAATAAACAGAGTGTTTACTCAAATACAAGTATCCAGTAAAAATAACATTCTAAGTGATAAAAATAGGCATCGCTAACAATTCTTAAAAGATTTGGTGATGCCAATTTAGTTTTAACTGACATGGTTGGAAACAAAGAAAAGAGTACTAAACTGTTATATAATGTTGGTCCTTCAGTATGGCAATGAATGCTGGCCCATTTCATCACAGATGGAGAAGGAGATTGAAGCAACAGAAATGTGGTTCCACAGAAGGATGCTGAGAACACCAGGGACTGAATATGAGAGCAACGAAAAAATGTAAACAAAAAGGACACTAATACTTAGCATCAGTGAGTGATAATTGAAATTTATAGGCCACATAAGAGGACTTGGAAAATTTAACACTGACAAGACATATTGGAGGCAAGAAGGACAAAGAAATCTCGGATGGTAGATTTTTTTTCATCAACCTATTTCTCTTTGAAGTTATTGTGGTTATCACAATTTTTACATATAACTCAAAATGTAACATCTTTAGAACTAATACAATTCAATATAATCAGTTGGATAAACTTGAGAATCAAAATTAGCTAGAGTGCTACACCGCAAGTGCCATTTATTTCTGAACTCTTAAAACATTTATTCTTTATCTTTGTAATTTATTACTGAATTTATATCCTAGACAAGGCCCAAAAGAATATATGGTTATGTCTAATCTTTAGGTTAATTAAAGTGGTTAACGATAAGTTTTTTGTAAGGAAAATTTGGCTAATTATTTTGAATAATTAGGTCATATGTTGTTTTCCTCTATCCCTTTTGCCTTTGATCAGTCCTGTGAGCATCAAGTTTTCCAAGCCAGCTTTCCTCATTATGCGCCCTTAGAAATTTTAACTCTTTCAGATGTTAAGTATCTTTTGTTTCCATTGTCTCTAGAACTTCATTGTTGCTATTCACATGTTCAGTCCATGGTATTCTCAGCATCTTTTGTAGAACCACAATACTGTTGCTTCAAGTCTCTTCTTCATCTGCAATGAGATTGTCCTGCATTCACTGTCAAAAAGGAGGACTTGGTAGGAAAAGAAAAGGAATTAAATGCCCTTGAGCCTATCTGATTTCACCAGAAATATGCTCTGTTTGAGATGAATTAGAAGCAATCCGCTAAAATTTCAGCATCTACATAAAGGAGAGAGAGTTAAACAATTAGCCTGCTTTTGATGAAAATGGAGAAAATGCCAACTAGATATTAAGAGAGAATAACAAAAAAAAATTTTTAAGTTGACATAAAAAGAATGCAAGTATTGGTTAAACTGAAATTACATTTTATTGTTCATCTGTTCAAAGGCAACTTTACTATTTGCAAAGATTTGAACATGAACTGGCTCTTCCAGAAAATTTAATACGATTAGTGTATCAATAAATAGAAATGTATGCAAGTTTACAAATTCTAATCTCACTAGTTTATCCACATCAAAAATAACATTTCAGTAAATCTTTAATATCATTTATTTATTTTTTAAACATAATATGTGTGCATGCTCTGAAAACAATCCTTCCTGTTTATTTCTACAAATTCTGATGAGGGGCAAAGTAACTGGTGGATAGAGCAAATTTTAGAGCTACAAAACATTTTCACAGTCAATGGCTAGGCATTTTCATCAATGATGAACAAAAAAACTGCATGCAACACTTATAAAAATTTGTACCAGCAATGGTGAAACTCATTACCCAATGCCTAACTGTGCTCACATCCACTGTTTGGTCTCTATAAACATTAAGCAAGCATCGATGAATATTTATATTTATAATTTTATCCTCTCTTCTGCTTTATACACATTTTTATAACAGACACCATTTTGCCAAATTGATGCTAAGGTGTGTAAAAATTATATAAAAAAAAATAATTATAGGTTATTGGCAGAATAGTTCAGCTCTTATTGGCATACTACCAACATCTGTTCTTGACATCATAGACTAACAAAATAAGAGGCAATACTTTTAGAGCAACCCTCATAAATTATAATAATAATCATAATTTTTGGTGCTAGGGAGATAACTGTTTACATCAAAAAGTTAGCAAAAATATATAAAAAGACTTGACATATAGTAAGAAATAAAAGGTGAGTATTTGACTTTAATCTGACACAAGGTCATAGTAATGAGTCTGCAGAAAGGATTAAACTCACTACAATAAATCTGCCTTAAAAATCTTTCTAACATTACAGAACTCTCTAATAAATAATAAAGGTGATTTCTATAAAAAATATGTAGTAGTTATTTGCTAGGGTCAACACCTGAGAGAACATAAGAATAGCAAAAAATGTCTTTCAGAAACTAAGTAAAGTATTTAAGATATAGTAAAATGTTCAGATATGAGGAAAAAAAAAAAAGAATACTTAACTGCTATATAATATCTAACCTCCTATATACCAGTGAATGCTGGACAATCTCCTCAGAGATGAATAAACTTGAAGGTTGCTACTTTGTGAAACCAACTCCCAGAGTATGCTTCCTGGATCACTAATCTTAATCTGTTCAAGTCTAGGGTTAACCGTTATCTTCCCCACAAATTCTCATAAACCATGCCTCTTACTCTGTAAATCTCTACCTCAAGTGTCTCTTGAGTCTTGTAGTGTGAATATCATTGTTTTTAAAAAAAAAAAAAAAAAAAAAAAGATAATTTTTCTACCAATGAATGTTGAGAATATCATGGATGGAATATGAGAAACAAAGAAGTTTTAATAGGAACTGTAAGAAAAATGCTGCTAATAATAAAGAAGTGAGTACATTTTTGGGAAACATGAGGAAAGAAGACTTTTATAATTTAATACTCACAGGGTATAGTGAAGGCAAAAGAAGCAGAAGAAATCAGTATCCAGTTTATTGAGTAAGTAAATGGATAGCAAAACAAAGACCACAAATACAAGGTAGTAAAGAAACAAGAGTTACTTTGAGTAACAAAGGAAGTAGTGAAGAGCCATAACCGTCCATATTTTCCTGTTATACATATATTTGTAAGCCTTTGTTAGAAATGTGAACAGGAGATTAAAAGAAAATGTTTTATGAAAGACAAACAGACAAAAATATCTGATATCTTTTTCTGAATCCTCCCCACTCTGGAAATTCAATTTTGAAGAAATTTAATAAAAGTAGATAGCATCTTTTTTTTATATCAGATGCTACCCAAAAGCAGTAAAGTAACTACTTTGAAGGAGATGGTGAAAACTAGATACAAGAATAAGTAATCACCATTCCCACCCACCAGTGTTTAAATTCTTCAAACTTTCATATAGTACCTCATATGTGTAAATGTTTCTACTGACATCTTTCTATGAGTTTCATTCCAGTTTGGTGAAGATTTACTCTTCCACCTGACAGAAAGAGTTCAAGGGTGAACAAATATCAAAAGTGAAGGAATATTAGGACTTGAGTTAGGGATCTAGAGTGTTTCCCCTTGACTGAAGAAGAATCAAGTGTAGCAGGTTAGATGATAGGCTAAATATTTAGAGGAAGTTTTGTTACATCTGTTTAAAGAAGCTCCTTGACATTAAGTAGGAAGAGTGATACCAGGTTTTGGAGGTTTATGGCATCATGAAAGTTGTCTAGCACTAATAAGAGAAGGAAGCTCTCAGAAAATTATTTCACAAAAAAAATTACAACAAATGAACATGTAATTTTCAGCCCAGTTTCCTGGACAATGGACCAGAACCAAATTGTGATTTTTTGTGAGTTAGACTTTTTTTTTTTAATGGTCACCCAATACAAGGCCCAAGAGCCACTTAAGGTAGAGGGTTACTGTGTGGACATATTAACATAGGAAAGAACAACTGTTAGGAGTATAGAGTTGAAGCAGACTTTAGAAGGAACCAGAAATCCAAACAGGAAACGAGGGATAAATCTCTACTCCTGTTCAAACGTCAAAGGGCAAATTTCACAAGGTAATGCATAAATGACATTGCTTAAAATTTCAATTGAATCCTATCACTAACACTGCAGATTTTTGATTTTTTTAAATAAAAGTTAATCAACTAAGAGTTATAATTGTGTCAATTTTTTTTGTTTCTGTCAGTTTTTCTAATGATGCTTTATTTAAAAATTAGAAGAATAAAAAGGTACTGAAAATTTTGCTAATCTTTATCAGAAAGTTAGTTAAATATATTTATCTTTTCCAAATTTTTTCATTAAGGGCTTACAGCCATATCAAGATGAAACACCAGTTCTCATACAATCACAAAAGCTAAGCAATGTCAAGCCTGGTCAGTACCTAGATGGGTGAGCACTTGGGAATACCAGATGCTGTAAGCTTGGATGTGCAAGTGGTGTAATAGATAATGGCTCAGAATTGGAAATCTGTGAACTGAGTTACAATTCTAGTTGGGTTTGTTATATTTACTTACATGCAAATACTCTTCAGAAAGGTATAAACCCACTCCTTTTCCTCACCATCTAATTAGTACAACTTTTATTAGTAAATCATTATTTCCCCCCCCCAAATTCTTACAATCTAAAAATATTTTCTGGCTTTAAATAACCTGCTAAAGGTTGATAAGCCATAAAAAACAAATCAGTTAATCAACTCTTTTCATTAAAGTTATTATAGATGGAGCCAATGACAACTATGTTTTGACACGAGACCACACAGCCAGATAACTGATGGTTAGAGTTATTATTCATCCTAGAATATTTTAGTACATTTAGATAATTCACATAGCCCAGAAGAGCAGTGAACATCAGAATAAGATTGACTTCAAAGTAAGATATTGACACGTTCTCTAACTGAATTTATTTTTAATCATTTCATTCCAAACAAGGCAATAAAACCACAAAGATGTAAGGGGGGGAGTTTAAGGAGAGTTAGAGAATATGAGAGAAAAAAAAACAAACCCAAACACTATTAGAGATAGAGCAAACAATAAAAGAAGATAATGATTGACATTGCATTTAAACTTTTGAAGATCAAAGTTCAAGAAGCTGAAAGAGAGTTCCACAAGCGAGATGAGAGAAAATACTGTTAAGATAGAATTATGGTTTCATCTAGCAGTTTCAACTGTAAAATTATGAGACCTTGCTGCCAATCTAGTATTGGGCTTAAATTCATGAAGTCTAGGTCAGTTTAGTTTCATAAATGATACATGCTTGGGCAATCATGTCTCTTTCAATTCATGACTGACTAGATAGATTTTCTCCACAGTAGGTTGCCAAGGCTATAGGACACAGCCTGTCCTGCTATTCAACCCATAGCTGGGGGGAATAGGCAGATCCATACCTTTCTCCAAGGATATTTGTGTGTAAGTGAATATAACAAACTTGAGTGGAACTCAAACTTGCCTCTGATTTCTCATTCCAGGCTGATATCTATTACACCATAACCCCTATATATATATATATATATATATATATATATATACATATATATATACATACATTACACACATTTGTAAAATATAACTGATAATGAATCTTTATTATGTCTTATTATGAGCCTTTCCAAGCATCGTATAATGACTTTAGTTTCAAGAGAAAACAGACAAAAACTGTCCAACATTTGGATATTTCTTTATTGGTCATTGATCTAAGCTTTCAGCTCATATGAGCCATCATCAGACATTACAACAGAGATGTTCACTGTCAAATATGACATACTGTTTTGTTTACATAGAAATTTGTTATTCGACAATAATCGTTGCGGAATAGCAGACAAGTCGTAAATTTGTAATGCAGTTCTATGACGTCGTACATGACCACATGAGAGATAAGAATTATTAATAATAATTGTAACCACAACAGTGTACGTCAAAAAAATAATACTATAAACTTGTACTATGGTAATCAAATGCATAATAATTACAAACAAAATGAAACACTCAAAAACATAATAGGTAGAAATGTTAAACATATTAATAATAATAATAAACAAGTTAGGCTCATCATATATTATAAAAAATTTAAAACAACTGACCTTATAGATTCCAATAACCCTACAACCACACAACTAAATCCTCTCCAAGAAAATAATGTAGTGTACCAATTTACATGCCTGTTCAGAGATTGTATCTCTGATATTAATAATAAATCCACTGCATACATTGGTTTCACTACATACATGCACTCCCATAGACTTACCTGTCACCTTTCTGATCTAAGTTCCATTAAACAATATTTAGCTATGTGTATAATATTAGATATTAGTTGATAACAACAATACTCACACATACAGTAAAAAGAACCTTAAGATATTGGAGAATATTGAAGGCTATCTACATTAAAACAAAGCTACCCACATTCAACAAAATTACATTTCAAACCAGTCACAACAGATTACAATGCATCTAAACATATGGTTCTGTTGATAACATTTCTTTCGCTCACATGGTTATGTACAACGTCATAGAAACACGTTATGAATTTATGACCTGCGTCTGCTACTTATCATCACATAGGAAACCTCTATGCAAACAAAACAATATGTCATCTTTGATGGTGAACATCTCTGTTGTAATGTCCATGTAACCACTCTGATGATGGCTCATACAAGCCGAAAGCTTAGATCAACAATCAATATAATAAAGAAATATCCAAATGTTGGACAGTTTTTGTCTTTATTTTCTCGCAAAAGGCTCATGATAAAACATAGTAGACATTTGTTGTCTGTTATATTTAACAATATTTGTTTGAATATATATATCTCACATTTCTTTGTTTTCTAGCATGTCACATGTTGCTGTGACTGCTAGGTAACCATTCAAATGAATACTTTTAATTTAGTAAATATACTGGATGCAAACTGATTACTTCATTAGCAGATGGTTTTCTTTTATATCATAACAGTTGTTCTCATAAAACACATGACTTTTAATAAGATTTTAATTATTTTTTTTTAAATCATAAAAATTAAACATTGTTGTGGTATTATGATATAATGTACTATGCACTGACTGGGAACTTTTTATAAAGTACTCCTACAAAAAGAAAGCAAAAAGCTCTCCAACCAAGTGAAATCAGCTCCTCTTCTCTCAGTTATGAACCAATGTACAAAAAGGTTCAAATTCATAAGACATGTTTGGTTGCCTATCACTTATCCAGTATGAGTGAGACTTGTAGGACCTAACTTATCTGATCAGTACAAATTTTTAAGTTAATAATAGTGAGAGGGGGGAGAGTAAATGGTATTAAATGAACATAAGATTAAATAAACAAGTAAATATTAAACAAATCAGGCACTTAAAAAAAAAAAAAAGAAAGATCCTCAGATTAATAAGTTTTATGAATGGAGTTATTCTGATATATATGGGAGAAATACAACACACACAGGTCATAATTTTACATTGAAAACCTTAAGAGATGCTAAGAGCGATTTTTGAAGTAGTGTGGAATGTTTGTATCTTGATTATGTGATTATTTTTCCTTGGAATTAAATGTGCAACCCATCTGAATCAAACATGTCAATAAAAACTTCCTCTTTTTATCCATTCCAAATTGCCTTCCAAGCTCTGACTGAATTTCTTGATCGGATAGAGGTACTATATCAGTTCACAAAATTATACATGTCTAGTAAGGACCCCAGTATGGAAACATTTCAAACATCATCAGGAGTACAACAAGGAGGAAATGAAATTCACAATCTATTTAATCTTTTCCTTGACTATGCTCTGCACATACACAAGAACAGATATAAGGAGATGGGCACTGATTATTTAAGCATTCCATACATCTCACATGAATCAACTAATAAAAAACTTGCTTTTTCTCCTGAGGCCAGTGTATTGATGATAAGGGGAACTATGCTGAGGACATAAGTATTCATAGTTGGGATAAGAATGAACTTGGAAAAAAGGGGAAAAAAAAAAACAAAAAAAAACAAAAAACTCTGGTAATTGTTCCAAGAAATAGGAGACAAACCTTTCCAAAACAGAAACTATGATTTGAAATTAAACTAAATGCAATAATGGCACCTACACAGAATCGATCATAAAAATGCAGGATGTAGAATTATTATACTAAACACTTCAATCACTGTGTATGGATCAGTTATAACAAATTTAGTATAGGAGATTGAACATAGAATAGGTTGTGCTGGAGATAGTTTCATACATGAAACCAAATCAGTTCAGAAATATCTGTCAGCTGCATACAACCACTTTCTAAGATAAATGAGTAAAAATGGCTTTGAGTGAGTGAAGCTTGTGAACTGGCACTACAGAAAAAAAAAAATTGTACCAAATATGAGAAACCTCATCATTTGAGAACTGCCAACAGCAGCAGCAACTAAAATGGATTGCACATGTAACTCCAAGAAAAAATAATGACATAATCAAGATTGTGACATCCCACACTACTTCAAACAAAAGTTTAGGAAAGAAGCAACCCCCCCCCACCACCACCACTCAATACTGGAAAGAGCAATAACAATTACTGAACTTTAGAAACCTATTTCCCTAAAAAAAATTTGTTTTAAGAGAAAGTTTTTATAAATTTCAACCAAAAGTAGCACTGGTTGCTCGGTCAATGAATACTGAATGTTTCTTTACAACAGTTGTTTTCTTTTTGTTGAATGAAGGTGTGAGGTGGAAGAGAATCATCGGAGATAAAGACAGAGAAGTTTTCTCATATTTGTTTTATTTTGTTTATTCCATACTTGATTTTAATTATTTAAGTGTGTTCATTTTTGAATGAGTAAATATATATTTTGACTTGTAATCATTGTTTTGCTAGTCTAAACAGTCTGGACAAAATTTGGACTTATATGTAAGTATATCTGCCATATTTCATGTACATTGTCTGTTTATACACAAAAAAGTTCAAATAATTTTAATTCCCTGCTCGATTTTTATTTTGAGAGAGGATATTTGAACTTGTACAAAGTTAAAACTTAATAGACAATATCATATTGTCAGTTCCATAACTAACTCTACCCTAATGCATATATTTGGAGCTAATTACCATAATTTTATTTACTTACTTTTTACTGCTTGAGATGAGGTTCTTAGTTCCTTCTAGAGTCGGTCCCAGCTCTCTACTTCCAACATCTTCACCTGAACTCCAAACCTTCATCCACTAATTATTGTTTTTTATCCTCTCCCAATTGGGGGCGTGGGGGGTGCCCTCAATCCTGATTTAAATCTATATTTCCAGTATCTCTGTCTGAATTCAGAAATCGTACTATTATTCACCATTTTTTTCTCCTTCCTTCTCTCCCAATAGAAGTAGATAGGTTTGCCTATCATCTGGTTCACACTGCTCCCCAATCTTTTGAACAGTAGTAGAAGTCTGTTCATTGTTTCCTGTTTAGGATTCAGTTTCCAG